ACATTGTGCACATGTTAACAAGAAAAGAATAATATTTAGAAAAAATGAATTTTGAATTACTCTAATCTGTTCCATTTTTATTACTATATATTATAGATTTTGTAAATTGTAAGTTATCTACATTTTTAACCTAAAATCTTATCATTATCACACATTACAAGGTGATATGGAATTCGTTTTCCTTTTTTTTTTATTTTTTTCTTTTCATGTGATCTCTATTAATTGGATGATATTTGTTTTACAAGTCCCTATATCAGTGGTTTTAGTTTCTATAGAGATTGAAAATATTGAAAAAAAACTATAGGGATTAAAAATAAAATTCTATAAAATTATAGGGACCAAATATTATATTTTCCCTTCTTTGAATTATTATTTTATTTGGAAAAATTACAATTAGGGATCTATAAGAACATTAATGACAATTCAGGGATTCAGGGTCTCTCATTGTCATTAATATTCTTATGGGATAACAATTATTTTCCCCTTTTTTTTATTGAATAACCCTTCACTAAACTTGTTTTTGATTTTGATGATAACAAAATATATGAAAAACATTTCAAATCACTTATGATTTAGTAATTTATTTATAGAAACAAGTATCAAATTTCATTTGAAGGGAATTATTTTCTTGCTGGAAATTTAGACAAATTTTAAACAAATTATGGAATATTAATGGACAACAAATTATGAATAAATTATGACTTATTTTTAAACTGCCCTTTTTTCATCACTAATCATCTATCTTATTTGAACTTAATGAAGTTATATAAAATAGTTAATAGATCCGTATAATAAGCACCGAAGGAGGAAACAGACATTTTATTACCTGAATCAAACACTAAAGAGACTTGAACATGATACATCAAGATTACCACAGCCAGGTAGAAAAAAAGAGACTTTGCAGCGTCCTCCCTGTGAAAATAATAATAATAATAATACCGTGAGACTTGTTTGTTTTGGGATTACAATTACAATTATAATGTAATGTTTGAGAAGCATAGTTAAAGTGGACATTATAGTTGCTGAAAAATTGACTAACTAGGGATAAATCTAAAAAGTATCGAACTCAGCCCTCTGTCTACATTCATAAATAAACTTATCATATATAACTATATAAGAATGTGAGAATTAGAATACTGAATAAAATTAGAGAGAGAAAAGACAATAAAAAAAAACCAAAAGAACAGAAATGAACTTACGCGATGAGTGATGTGTGAGAAAATTAACGTCGTGAAGGTTAAGGAGCAGCAAAAAAGGAAGCAATGTTGCAATCAAGGAGCGTAACCCGATCGTCTTCGACACACAGACGAACCTCATGAAGAAGACGGTGATTTGTTGTGGCATTAAATTTAAAGGTTACCAATGCATCATGTCCTGTGGCATCCTTAACAGCCTTCAGTATTTCTGTTTCACCATGTGGAGTCCTTCCATCTGGATTGATGCCTAAAACAAATAACAAATTAATTTTATGTCAATCAAACCTAGATCTGATATCGCTTATTAGCTAGGAATGAGGAGCAACCTCCTGGAAACAGATGGAAAGAACAAATTGGTGAATAATTAATGGTGAGCAGATATCATATCTTAACACAAAATTCAAACGCTCAAGTTTGTGTCTTTCCACTTTAATAAATATATATTATTTTATTAAACTTAATTTTTAAATGTATGTTATCTTATTAAACTCAATTTTTTAGCCCGGGCATGACTTCACTCATCGATTCAAGTCTACTCATGCTTGAAGATCCTATAATAATTGGGAGTCATGATGTTAGAGTTGTCATAGGAAGAGGATCTGACCACATAGAGAACAACTGAGATAAGTTAATTAAGGTGAGGATCATATATAAGCAAGTAGGAGCACCCATGAACTTTAGATTAAGATGCGGTGTCAAGCTCACTTATATACTCATACTACTAGAAATTACCAGCTGCTTTTAATTTGGTCAGGATGGATTGAGCATGCGTTTTTGCGAGATCGATAGTTATTCTGAGATAATTGGTGCGAACTTGTTGTAAGAGCAGGTTCCATGCTTGTTCCACTCATGTTCCCAGAATGGGATGCTTTGTTGAAAGCTTTGAGCGTTCTGCAAGTCTGGCCAGTAATCTAGCAGATCTTGCTGGAACACCATAAGCTGCATGCAGTGACACAGAACAGAAACCCGCTTGTATACATAGAAATAGAGCAATTTGTGAGAAAAAGAGAGTTTAATCAATTAATTACATTATTAGGAGTGATAGGAGGAGTGGGTTGACAATTTTCAGGAGCTTTTTTAAAATTGAACTCAGGCCAAAGTCCATGAATGGTGAATTGGGTTGCAAAGGATTCTCCTTGGAGGAGTATCGCAGAAAACGTTCGGCCATCGCAACGTAAACACAAAATAATCGAATCCTGGCTGGAGTTGGACAGCACTGAACTGTGCTGTGTTGGTATTGGTGTTGCGTGAAGACCAAACAAGGTTTGTGCTTTTGGTTGTGTTGATGTTGAAGTGATACAAACACAACCAAGCCATTATCAGAGGAACAACAAACACCAACACTTGTTTTGAGATCCTCATGATTGATTGTGTTGCCCTTTCTGGGATAATTCGTGCTTGCTAGCTAGCTACGGTTTTAGCCATCTTCAACATCATGGAGTGCCATTTTTTATTGATAGGGCAAGTTCCAAAGTTCATAGAGACACGCAACATGACTCAAAAAATATATATATATATATCCATAACAAGATATTGATCATCACGCGGGCAACATGATTCAAATCATTGCCTTTATTTATGGTGTATGAGTTGTAATTCTTATGAACTATAAATCAATCTTTTGTTGCATGGCTTAAACAATGTATATTGTTTTACATTAATTTTTATGAATTTAAATTTCATTCAAATTCAAATTCATTTTAAATTATAATTTTTTTGTAATTTCAAATTCCCTCTACACATTCAAGCTTTTTGTTTTCTTTGCATTTTTACTATTGATATCTCTATGATTCTCATATTTTTTCTTATCTCTTAGTGATTAAAAAAATGAATAAACTCATCATTTTTAATTTTTATTTTCGTTTTAAATTTATGTTCATTTCTTTTCTTTATTTGAAATATTTTAATCTATCTAAACAAAGAGTTTTAAATACATGAATTTTAAATGTGATGTTTGAAATTTAAGATTTCAAATATAAAATCCAAATCCAAATCCATTAATTCAAACATTGCCTTAAAATACTTTACCCTTGACCTAGCTCCCCCCCCCCCTAAATAGAAAAGAGAGACACTTGCACACCAATGTATGCCCATGCTGGGTTAGCATCCTAAACATCACACTCAGGCTCAAGCTAGGGAAGGTGGTGTTGCTAAACTAGGGCAACCAGACATTGACTTATATATTGTTTACTTAACCAAAAATCAAAATGTAAATTTAATATTCGTCCGTTCATAGCTGGCCATCGTGGAAGCAGCAACCCGGCAACTTGGAATATATAATTTATAACGACAAAGACTGCAATCTTTATATGGAATATAAAAAGACTAAAGACTCGATCACTTAATGTTTTTTTTTTTTAAAGTATAATATTGGGATTATCATAGTGACATAATTGCCAAGTTATAAACACTTGTCTCCATATATGACCAATAAATGTTGATCAAGTTTATAAAGATTTGGCTTATAACCCACAAGATTGTGACATTGAATCTTATTACTGATGTGAAAACCTTAATGATGGACAATCTGTTGGAAATTTGTGTTTTGAAAGTTGTAAATTAGGGTATAAGAAGAGAAAATCACTTGAAGTAGCAGTGATATATTTGACAAGTTTTTTATTTATAAATTGACAAATTTCACTTGCAATTTCTTGTTTCTATGGTTGCAAATTATGGAATGAGAGTAGCCAATTTCCAGACAAATTCATTATTGCATATTTGAATTAAATCCCTCATTTCGATACATAAAAGTCTATGAATTTGAACTTAATCCAAATCTAAATCTATGTATTTATTTCAAAAATTCAGAAGTTGCCTGTGAAATTGTATTGCAAATATTTTGTGCAAGAAGCTGTGCTAGTTAAAGAGACCAAATCAAGAAATTAGGTTATAACTTGTTTGTTGGCTATTAACTTTTTATCTCCTGTGGTTCAAGTTTGCTACAAATATCCTTTTTCCTTTTCCCTTTTCCCTTTTCCTGTCTTCTTCTTCTTCTTCTTTTTGGAACTATTGCTTTCTTGCACAGTCCAGCTAAAAGGGTGTTATTCTCATATTGGCCTTAGGGTTAAGGTGCAAAAATACCCATAAACTTTTTCTCCAAGAGTTTTTGGTATTCTTAAGTCAGCAATGATGCATGGGTACCCATTAATTTTATAAAAGAGGCCAACCTCCTTGGCCTTATGATGTACTTTCCTTGTATAGACATTCATATATTCATGTGCGTATTATCATGAAAAGAAAATAAATTGTATTTACTATTGTAGCATATATAGTTGAGAACTTTCAGGTTAGAAAAGTGTAATTAATTCTGTAATATGAAATAATATGCTTGACATTTGGAAATAAAGGTGATTTATTGCCTTGTGGCCATGTCTGAATTTCAATTTCATCTCTATGGTTCAACCAACTTCATTGAAAGTTTATGTTATGGATGATATGTCACAATGAGGAAGGTTTCCTTTTTAATGTTAGGAGTAAAGTCCTTATTCCTTTTTCTTCTTTCTCTGTAAGACATGTTTGGTTGCAATTATCAGCACTGGAAATTGCTATTAACCATAGAGTAGTTATGGATAGGAGGAATAGTTTGATGAAGGACTTAAAGAAATTGGAATAATTGGTGGGAAGGCAACTTCTTGTTTTGTGTGAATTCAGAGGATATATCTTATATGTTATTTATTAAGGGTCTGGACTAGGTGTTTCTCAGGATAATTCAGCTTAGAGCAGCCCTTTGAGGAAGAGGAAATTTAGAATTCCATTTAACTGTTGTATGAAGAAAACAAGCTTCATGACCTGTTGGTTTTACGGATGTGGTTACTTCTGGCATTGTTGGATATAGACAGAGAAGGCACTATTTAGGAGATTGATGGGTTTCAATGTGATAGGCAGTTAGTGTTAATAGTAATCCTTGTGCTGAAGAAAAGTAGGTCCATCAAGTGAGGGGTTGCGCAGGGGTGTGTGTGTGTGTGTGTTTTTTTTTTTTTTTTTTAAGTTGTCTTAAGGTCCTCTTTGTTAGGTTAGTGCTGTAATATTTGAGACTTTATGAAGTTTATTACCGGAAGGGAATTCTTGGATGCAACATCAGCAGCATGATTTTTCTGTTTATTGAAGGATGGGAAGAAGTTTACAAACCATTCATGTTGGGATTTCATCGTAATTTATTTTCAAGTTTTATTACATGCTTTGAAAACTAATGCAGTTCTCCTGTGCATTTATTGAAATCTACAATGATGAAAATCTTCATCTCATTTAGAGCTTGTTGGATCATGAAGAAGGATCACCATGCTTATTCCATGCTTTGTTATGCAGCATAATAAATTGTGTGCTGCAAGCATATTGGCTTATGTATTTTAACAGGATACTATTATCCAATGTTTTATAGAATTTTAGCTTTGCAGATTAATGCTTTATTATGAATTGCAAATAATTGGTTGTTCAGAGAAATATTGTATGCTTGCAAGATCAAGATACACTGTCTATCTATCTATCTATCTATACTATGAATGTTGTAGTGTGCTGTGTTTTTGGTTTAACTACTTTGTCCTTATGATTCTTGGTATCTTTGCTGTTATATAATGCTTTGATCTTGTTTATGCCTTTGCAGTACCGGAGGCTTACACAAATGTTGCAGAATCAAAGTTTCCGGTAATTTGTGTTACAAATAGAAAGTTACTAAAAGATTACCCTATATCTGTTGATGTTAAACATAGTCCACACCAGGACTCCCTTTGGGGTGAAAGTGTACGGATTTCTTTCTTGATGTTCAAGTAACCTGTGTCCTTGCCCTATATGGAATTGATTTTTGCGATGCACTACCGTATTGTCCAGCAGTCTGTAGAAAATACTTGAGAGTGTGTGTATAATGATTTTAAATTAGAGGTGGCTGAGATTCTCAGAGTAGTTTTCCAAAACACTGAAGTCGTATTTGGTATGGATGAAAGAGGTTTCAAGAAAGCAAGAGTGGAGAGAGAATTCGTTATTTTGATATTTTTTGTACATGTTATTAAGTTACCAAGAAATTGATGCTTCCTTCATACAATGCAAATAAGCCTCATTTACTTGGCACCAAGGAAAGTTGCTTTCTATCAAGAACAAAAAATGCATTGCCATGCCCCCCTAATTTATAAAATGTTTGGACTTTTTTTTTTTGAATTTTTCAAAACAAGTATTTTTATATAAATATTTAAATATTTAAATGTTATTTCTCGTAAAAAAAAATATTAACCTCCTATTTTATATTAAAATAGTTCCCATGATTTTGAAAATTCAACTTAAATGTTTATGTAATACTTGCATGTACTGATTAATAGTTGAAACTAACGTGTAAAAAAGTTTGTCTGAACCTTCTGATTTACAAATTGCAGATAAAGGTGGAGGACTTCTTTAGGTACTTTTTATCAGACAACGCTGTTAATTTTCATGAGTTGTTTCATGAAAGATGTGGAGATAAAGGTAGCCTGCTTGAATCTTGTATTACCTTTTCATCTTAATTAGCTTTTGGAATATTAATTTTTTGTTGCTGATCTTGTATTATTTATTTTAAGTAAGGTAAGGAATAAAGAATACATAGTCTTTCAAAGCCTTATACTTTTGGTATGTATGATGGTTACTTTCAGACTTGAAGTGTACTTCATGGCAGTCTCAAGAAGTTGGGTATACCCGGGAAAAGTCATTTCAACATCCAATAAAACTTTACCTTGGTATGCATCACCTGCTTCTATTTTAAACAATCAATAATACAAAGTTCCTTGTTTTTGCCTGTGTTTCACTTTTTCTTTTTGCAATTATATTTTCATGTTTCTCATGTAATTTTGAATCCTTTTAAGGAGCGAAATTTGGTGGTTGTCATGAAGTTCAGACACTGCGAATCTACAAGAACAGGTTGTAGCTATGCTGTTGCTCGTCAATCTCCTAATGTTTATCTTTGATTTCTCTTCTCTCGTTCATCTGGGAAGAGAGTTAAGTCTGCACTTGAACACTGAACTTATGTGCAGTTTGATTTTAACATTCTTGGGGCTAAATGAGTTTTTGACAGGGGCTAAGTTTAGGGAAAGTTATGGGGATGCTAGGATGGATGTCCCTGGTAGATAGGGGCAAAAAGGGGTGAAGTTTAAGAACATAATCAGGTAGGCTTGGGTTATCCTTACAAAGTGGCTTAATAGAGTTATTGAAGAGGGGTTCAGGAGATGTGAAATTGACATTGATGCTCGGTGTATTGAAAACATGAAGAAAATATCTGTTGAGCTATTTTGCAGCCTCAAAAAAACAGGAAGTGGTGTCAGTGTCTATGCAATATTGCAACATATTGGAATCATGTGAATTGCCACATTCTTCATATCACATATCGCCTACTGATTGGGGAGAGAGGGGGCACGGGTGTACAAGTAGTGGAAGAGAGGAGGAAGATTCTTGTTAAATACTGCCTCAGCTCCCATATATAGGAATAACTAGTTAACTAATTCACATAGATTAAGGAAATTAGGTAAGTTAGTTATATGTAAAAAGATGTATGCTAGTTTTCCTAAATTACCCCTCCTTTTAATAATTTACATTAGAATATTATTAATGTAGCTAATTCTTCATACAAAACTCTAACTATAGGGGTAGTTTGGAAAAAAATAAGAAATATAGGAGACAAAGGAGATTGAGGTCTTACATTTGGGTCCAAAACAAACCCCCCAACTAGCTCCTACATTCAGGATCGGAGTCATTGTTGAGTTAATTTGGGATTTTCTTCATCATGATCTAGTTAAGGAGAATGTTACAGGATGTTTTTCTTCTCTGCTGAGTAATAGTTCTGTATGCTTGGTTAAATTATGACTGAGTTTGCTCTTATATTATTTTAAAATCTATATTTTTCTGTTCTTTTTTAATATAAATATTTTTTTTGAAGTGAAGTTACTGTAATTTTGCATTGAGTAGTTGAAATATATGGGGAAGCGTTTGAATCACTTTATTTGTTTTCTTGACATTGTACTTTTTTCTTCATTCAGTCATGTGGTTTTAGAGACATCACAAGAAGTCAGTGGCGTACCTTATGCAGATTATTTCCGTGTTGAGGTAAGCTTCTGTAAACTTCAATGCATATAATCAGAAATTTTCTGTAACTCTAAGCCATACTAGATTCTTTTGGAAGAAAAACTAGTTTTTCAGATTATGTTGTCCAGTTGTAAAACCTCTTTCATTTTCATTAAATGCACCTAAACGGAGATCTGATTTCTTCCACAAAAATGCAACAAGGAAGCTGCATTTAGGGAATATAGATGGCCTCAAGGAGAAATAAGTGCTTACTTTTTACATGACCAAGGAGCTGGCAAGCTCCTGCGAGTGTGCAAGACAAAGCTTTTTTAGTACTTTTATCAAAGTTGTCTAGTCTCCTTGCTGGTCTGCTGTGAGCTGTCAGTAATCTGAAATGTCTGATCATGTTTCTAGGTGATGAGAACAGGGGAGAGAAGTAGATGCAAACTCCATAGTTTATTCAAATCATAAAAAACATCTAACAATCTCACCATAGGGCTTATTTATGGAACCCTAAGTTCTATTATTCAAATAATAAAAGTAATCTAAACTAACCTTGCTAAAATAAGATCATCCTACATAAGATACGGCACTAGGATAAATCTTATAAATCCCAATCCAACTATAATTATTTAAAAAATAATCTTAAAATACTGAAATTAACTTTAAAATTTAAAATAATCCTAATTCTTTTTCCCATCATTTCTCCTTGTCTGAAGAGTAAAACTAGTGATAAAACTCCAAGAAGGCAAGACGTAGGATGTTATATCATCATAATTCTGATATAGGGAGAAATGAAAAGAATAACAGAGAAGGTAGAAGAGATAAAGAGGAATTAGAGAGAAAAAGAAACAGAGGGACAAGAGGATTCGGCTGAATGGTGCACAAGCTTCATGGATAATTCATAATGATTACAATTGACTTGTAGGGTATTTATAGAAATAAGGATACCCCCAACAGCTACTAACAGTACCTATTAACAGCCGTATCTCTATTAACAGTTATAACTAACCAACTAACAATAACAGCAACTAATATTTCAATATTATGATTATATAACAATACCCCCCTCCCAAGAGACTTTTGTCCTCAAAGGTCATGTATAGCAATTTGAGGGAACCTTGTTGAAATATTGGAAAAAGAGCATTAAACTTTTAGAAGCTACTGTTCATTTTTTTCTGTCACTGTTCACAGTTACTGTGCACTGTCATTGGTTACTGTTGATTCTGAATAAATGGAAATAATGAGCACCATGCTTGAGCCCAAAAGCATTTTTAGTAATCCTCCTCTGTGCCATAGAAGAACAAACAAGTGGGTAGGGAGGAGTTGAAGACAAAGAAAAGCCCAATAAGACAGATTTTTCAATGGGTTGATTGTAATGCCTTTTGAGTGGCATTGGGCCCATGCAATTATCCCAATTCAGAAGCTGGTACAAGTTCAATAAGGATAAAAGGTATAGCTTTTGCATCTGAAGTTTCCACCTACATGACAAAATGGGTTTTGACTTTTCAACCTTTATAGGACCTAGCCACGTGACGTTTTGAATAGAAAAATCAGGGAGTAGTTCCTTTTTCTTTCTTGAAACTTGAACCCATGTATTGACCATCGGTGTTACCTGCCATCCACTTAAACTACACCCACTTGATATGGAGGATAGCTGTCTTTGACCCATGCAGCCACGTGTGTAGACAAAAAACCCACTGAAGCTTACTCTCACATTCCCTTCCTGTTGTGAAAAGTTCACCCAAGTCCTGTAGCTGTGAGAAGTCTAGAGTCTTTAAATGGGCATGGGTAAGACATGCACACACTAATGAGAGGACAAAAGGTGGTGGTGGTGATGGAGCAAACAACCATGGGGCATTTGGAGTTACAGAATTAGACTGCAATGGGGAAACTAGAGGATACAGCAACGGTGACACCCTAGAAACAAGAGACAGCAATGGAGAAGCTTGTGGTGGTGGCAGAAAAACAGAAATAGGTAATGATGGGTTGATCAGAAATAGAGGCAAAGAGAAAGTTGGAATAGAGGGTGACAGTGGCTCTGTAAGTGGGCAACACTGAAGTTTTGAACAGTGTTGGGTATCCAAACTCAAGTCAAGACTGATGGTTTTACCCATACCAACAGTGAAAGAGCTTGAGAAGTCATGGTTAGAGATGCTCGAGCCTACTTCACCTTCCAACTCGTGTAAAGAAACCTTCTTGAAATCACTACCATCGACTTGCAGTTCTTGTACTCAACTTCAATGTCAATTGTTCTAGCTGCGGGATCCCCATGATTTCTAATGCCATTTTTGGCTTGCTGATTCCCACAATCTTGTTGAGGTGTACTTCCTTCATCCCTTTCTAAAATCTCCTGTGACCTATAATCATCTTGAAGTGCCCATGGCTTCTCTTCTGCCTTATGCATTAGCATGATTTCTTGCATTCTTGCAAGGCTTCTAGCTTCTTGCATCATTCTTGGTTTGAAGAGATGCATTGGTTCTACAAGTTCTAGCTTGAGCCTAGCCACATACGCAGAAACTAAATATTTTTCTTGCAATTTTAATCCACTAGTGTGGCTATCAAAGAATTCATTGAATTCTTTCACACACCCCCATTGATGAAGCCACATCTAGTGGTCATCCTCATATTTGTGGAATGAATGGTGTGCCATGGCTGAGGATGACTAGCTTTGATGCCACTATTATATTAGCATAATTCTGATATAGAGAGAAATTGAGGGGACAGGGAGAAATGGAGAGAATAACAGAGAAGGTAGAAGAGAGAGAGGAATTAGAGAGAAAGAGAAACAGAGGGACAAGAGGATTAGGCTGAATAGTGCACAAGCTTCATTGATAATTCATAATGATTACAATTGAATTGTAGGGTATTTATATAAATAAGGATACCCCTCAACAGCTACTAACAGTCTACCTATTAACGGCTATATCCCTTAACAATTATAACTAACCGACTAACAATAACAGCAACTAATATTTCAATATTATGATTATATAACATAGAATAAGGTAGAAGAAAGGAGAAAGGGAGAAAGAAAGGAGGGTGAAGTAAAAGAAAAGGAGTAGATGTCTAACTAAATAACTTATACAAATCATGAAAAAGGTCTAACATCAAACTATCTAGGGCGTGTTTATAGAGCCCTATGTATAGCTATCCAAATAATCAAAATAATCTAAACTAAGATAAGGAAGGGTAATAAGATAAATCCTATATATCCTAGAAAGTTTTAATCCAACTAATTTCATTTAAAAAGTAACCAAGATATCCTAATTAAAATAAGTTGATGTAAATTATCCTAATTATCTTAAACTAGGGATAAAATAACCCTGACATTTCCCCCCTATCAAGACTTGAAAGAATGGTTGTTCAAGGTGGAGAGATCCTTCTCTATGAATGGCATCATTGAAGGAAAGAAGTATGTTGAGGCTGCTAATTTTGGTTTTTTGCCCCTTTCTTTTTGGGGGTGCAGATGCCTTAACCCAGTCCTAATGGCTAGAAGCCACAGCACTGATCAGGAATTGGCCATAATTTAAGGAGTTGCTGGACAGGCATCATTGTCACCGGATGGTGATATTTAAGAAAGGTTAATGCCATTGAGAAAGGATGGCTCTGTTGAAAAGTTCAAGGAAATGTTTGAGCTACTATCAGCCCATTGAATGACTTGTATATAGACGAGGTGTTGATGAATGTGAACATTCAAATATATACTGACAGAAGAAATTCAGACTAGAGCTCGTCATTGTGATGGTTGTCTATTGAATATTACCATCTTGCATTTCTGAATAAGAGTTGGTGCTTCCTGAGCTCACGTTCATGGCTCTCACCATTCCAGAAGGGGTCATTCTTCTAGGGTTCAGATCCATGGGTGCTTTTATATCAAGATGAAAACAAGAAGATAATTCTCCTTTCAATTGAATCAATGGACACAAAGCCTTCTAAGCTAGCTTCATAAAACCCTAGAGAATACCCAAGCTGCAGCTGCGAAAGCAAAGATCAAATTCAGGGGAAGAAAAAAGAGAAGATCAATTTAGCTAAAAATATAGGAATCTAAAGAGATGATTTTTGCTTAATTGAGTACTATATATCTCAAGCTTTAAAAGACCAGAGTTGTAGCATTGGTTTAAGGGTCAATGGTTGGACTATGGTCGAACAGAATATGAATAATTTTTTTTTTAATTTTTTATATTAAATATCGACATTTTGTAATTTTTTTTTCAAAATAAAATTGTTGGATGAGATAAAATAATTTTCTATTCTTTTTATATGAAGTATCATTTTATTAGAAAAAATCTCATAATATATCTTCAAAAATCACTCTAAATTTGTTTAATATTTAAGAGCTCATATTCATAATTGATGGATACCTAGGCAGGAGAGGGAACTTTACTCCAAAGGCTAGTTGTTGAAGTGGGAGAGCAAACCCACTTAAATAGCTCATTGAGCCTCCTATACTGATGTAGGATTTAGTATTCCATACTACCAAGTATATATCAGAATTAGTTGGCTATGTGGAAGAGTATACTCTAGAAGAAAGAAATCCAACCCAAAAAGAGGATGGAACATATCTCATGTATGTCTCGGGAAAAACAAATGGTGCTGGGCCTGACCTGAGAACAAGTATGGGCTGGCTGTGAAGTGGCAGAATAAGCATGATTATTTATATATACTTCTGTCAGGTAGTGCATGGACAAAGGGGAAGGAGAAAGTAGAATGTTATGGAGGGTCAGGAGGGACATAAGGATGCCTCAAAATGCATATACTATTTTAAATGTCTTTACTCTTGTGACTCTAGGAGAACAAACAAAGCTCTAAACGAATCCTTTTATTTGGCTTGGGAAATATAGTTTACATTGAAGAATAAATAATAATATTTAAAGTTGAACAGCCTGGTATTCCCCAAAAAAAAAAAAAAATTGAACAACTATGTTGCTTTTGAGTTTCTTCATGTGTCCCTCTTTAGTAAATTTAATATTTTCAAGTGTCTATTCACCAAGAACGTTTGCCCTAATCATTTGTAGTTTTTGCTTACAAAGTACTTTCCTCATTTATGACCAGGGATGGTGGGATGTCCAGAAAGACAACAATGAATCAAAAGAGTGCTGTGTTTTGCGGGTTTATGTGGATGTTGCATTTTCGAAGAACACTATATGGAAAGGTGTTCAGTTTTCCTTTAGTCTATAGTTTACTCATATATAACCTTGGTTTGTTTGGGTTATCATCTTTTCTCATTATTACCTTATGTTGCACCAAGACTTTGTGGTTTGTAACTTGTTGATGTTCATCCGTTATAACATTAAATGGTTCAGATTTATGACATTGTTGCATCTGCTATGATACATTTGTTTTGTAGCCGGTCATATAAGAACATAGAGAAAGTCACATCTTAAATTTTTAAATTGCATAGTAAACAGAGTTGTTAATTACATCTGCTATGTAGCCATTTGGTTTTACATGCTATTCGTGGTAGATGAGTTCATCCTGAATTTATAATGCTTAATTATGATTTCAGCTCAGGATAAATCAAGTCAAAGTTCATATTATATGAACAAGGAGCTTTCTTGGATCAAGAGCTTTCTTAGATGGATGTCTAGTGATTTGTAGTTTTACGGGAAAAAAAAATGTATTCATTGAACAATGTCAATGTCTTAATTAGATTCATGATGTCTGAGTTTAGCTTCATAACTGCACTGCAATTGCATGTATAACTGTATGTATAAAACTTTTACATATCTTTTATCTTCTCTTGATCTATGATGCACTATATTTTCTGCATAAATTACATATTTTTGAATCCTTGCATGATATACGTTGTGTAGACTTACATAACTCATTTTTTTCTGCAACAAATAGACACAATTTGCACACGATTCATTTTAATCTGATGTGATTGTGTCTTCACGAGTTGCCTAGTTTTTATCTCCAATTTTTCACTAGTTTTTGACGACTATAATTTAACCCTCTTTTGTCATAATAATTATTCTTAAAAATAATGTCATTTTCAAGTGTCTGATCTATCTCTGAGGAGATTGACATTCATTTTCACTGAATCTTTAGAAGTTTTCTCAGTGCACATTCTTTCACTCTCACCCGGGCACAATCCCCGTATTTAATGCATTGAGTTCATTTGGATGTGTGCATTGCTTTTAAAGTCATAAATCGAACTATTTATAACTCCAAGTGATTGTAAATAATTGCAGGCAAAATAGTACAGTCAACAATTGAAGAATGCCGAGAAGCTTATGCTACATGGATAAACATGGCAAGTTCATATGATCTGTTAAACATGTTTTTTTGTGTATTCAACAATGTTCTCCACTATTATCTGTGTCTGAGTATCTCTAATTTCATTTCTGTCAGGCTCATGAGTTGTTGAAGCAAAAGAACCTTGAAAAACAAGAAGGTTTGATATTTGCAAAGTTTATTATTTGTCTTATCTGTCAATCCAAAGATTTTGTACTTTTCAAATATTAATTATGATGAAGGTTGAAGTAATTTTCTCTTAATGATGCAGAGAGCGCTCCTACTGCTGGCGGGGCACAAACTAGCGCGGTAAATTTAGATAGTGAACAAATAGCCGGAGGATCTTCAGAGAGTTCACAAGAGCCAAATAACCCTGGAATTCTACCCCTTACATCTGACATCGTTCGTTCTAATCGCAACGTTGACAGCCAGTTGCAAGGAAATCTGATTGACTCAACGTCTATTTCATGCATGTTAAGAGAATGCGTGACAAAGTTCCGGTCTTGTTTAAAAAGTCAGAGCCATCTCTCGCTATTCCTAGTTATCATTTTTGCTGTTATCTTCTTTATGCAGGTGCGTACTTCTTCACTATAATGCTTCAATTAGCCAGCCTTATGTTGCCTTGACTTTTTATGATCCTTCGGGACCCAAAAATAATTCATTGTTAAATAATTTACATTTTCCAGAAAAAGTTGGTTAAAATGTTGATTTTTTAAAAATTTTCACATTTTTCCAGTTATATCCTGAATGGAATATACTAAAATAAGGGTATAATTGGAAAAAAATATATGAAATTTACCTAATGCCTTGTATTTTGGATCAAGTGGGGTTTTTAGAAAATATTTTATATTGTGGTTCGGAGGGAGTATTATACATAGATTCATGGGACAGTTCTAACCTTTGATTCTGTTGCAGCAGTTTAGCATACTTATACTGTTGTCGAGGCCCCAACAGATCCATGTGAGCACTCCAACAGATTATGTGAATAGGATGGAATATGGAGTGAGCAGAAGCGCTTCAGATATAGCTTGGTTGGAGAAAAGGATTCACTTCCTGAAAGATGAGATGTACATGATTGAGACTAGGCTTGAGAGAATGAGGTACGAGCATGCCCTCTTGAAAAAGCAACTCAAAGATCTAGAGCTAGATAAATAGATCAACGGACACCCACCAAACTTTGATTCATGTAGTTGTTTGTTGCATTCCTTCCTTGTAAATAAGAAAAATGTAATACCTAGGCATGAGAGAGAGGAAAAGTTAAAAAAAAAAAAAATTGTTGCAGCATGCTAGCTGGATTTTCACTCGGCTTTTTGTTGATAGAGAAATTTCTGACTTCGCGGCCAAAAGAGAGCCAAAGGAAGCCTGCAATGTGTAATTTTTTTTTTAAAGTACAAATGACAGTCCATGGGTTTAAATTTTTGGCTTTTGCTAACTTATCTTGCGTAATGGTTTTTTTTTTTTAAGAAAATTACGGATAGATCCTGTATAATAAATTTATTTACAAATAAATTCAGCCAAGTTGTTTAGAACTTGGGTGTAAATTTGAGATGGGGCATAAAGACAATAATATTCTTGTTAATTTGGCTTTTATTCATAATATATAGTAAAAATTTGTAATTTGTAATTTACAAATCAAATTTCTTGCTTAATGCATCATATAACATGGAGTCTTCACGAGGTTAATTATACCTGTTTAAGGTTATAATTATTGAGTGAATTATGAGTTTTACATTTCAATTAAATCAATTATAGGCTTTAAGTAAGGATAATTAAGTTTATGAATACTTCATGTTATATTAAGTATTAAAAAAGAAATTTGATTTGTGAATTATGAATTTTTACTTATAAATTATTAATTATGAAGTTGCAGTTGTGAGTGAAAGTTAAATTAATTGTCAAAAGTTTTATTAATTAAATTTAGTTTAAAAGTACCTGCAATCTAAATATGTAAATCCTAAATGAGCCCTATTACTTTTCTTACATCCTAATTAGATCAATTGTAGTTTTAAGTTGGTATAATTAATTTTATAAAGATTCCATATATTATATTAAACAAAAAATTTAACTTGTGAACTATGAATTTTTACTTATAAATTGTGAAATTGTAGTTTTAAGTGAATTCCTTAACTGTTAAGAGCTTTATTAATTAAGTCTAATCATACTTTAAACTACTGTAAGCTAAATATATAAATTCCAAATAAGCTTTATTACGTTCCAATTAGGCCAATTATAGTCTTAAGTAGTTAGGTATAATTAACTTTGAGACTTCATTAAATATTACTAAGTGTTAAACAAGAAATGACTTCTGAATTAATAATATTTACTTGTGCATTGTGAAATTATTGTTATAAGTGAAAATAAAATTAATAGTATTATATTTTCACTTCAATATCAAATTACATTCAGAACAAGACTTGTTCATAATTTTTCTTTTTCCCCCCTTTAAAATCCTCCTCAAATTGGATACTCCTTGGGGCTACCGTGTTCATTTTTACAACTACGCGTATGTTCTAATAAGATCATGTCTTGCTGCATTCGTTTTTCCTGTTTTTCCCCCCTTTGAATCATTGCTTTCTATATAAAGTTAGAAAAAAAAAGACATTTTAATGTCTTGAAGACCAAAACGATATATTTTTGTATTTTTTAATGATTTTTCAAAGAAAAATATTAAATTTTATGATATGTTTCTTTTAAAAATTGTAAAAAAAAAAACAAAATTTTACTATTTTAAGATTTCAAGATATCAAAATGTTTCTTTATGAAGAATCTAATGATTAAAGAAAAAAAGAAATTGATGTGAGACATTATAAATGACATTAGAGAGAAGTATATTAGAGGTCTCTAGCCTCTTTCAAAACATGGATACTATTGTTATGAGTCTTTTACCAAGAAATCTCACAAAATAATTTTGGCTTATATGTGTGAGGTACTCTTTTTTATTTTTTTGAATTACTCACAAGTATTTTCTTATAAAAGGTAAATCTTATTTGAGAAAAGGTCAGACACTTAATGTGGGCACATCTTTCTATAATAATTCAAACATTAGATTACTATCTGGTCAAAGATTAGCTCATTTTACTAGATCTAACCCCATTGGTTCACTAGGGTTTTGCTTTTAACTCACTTGTCTGTATAACTATTTTTTCTCTGCTTCTAAAATTTAAATTAACAAATTATTGTACAATGCAGAAACTTATTTTGTCACGAGAGTTGCGTGACCGCACTTCATTGTTAAATCATTTTCATAATAGGGACATACAATTTGGATTATGCAAAAGGAAACGTGACACAAGGAATCTTTATTCTACAGAATCTCTAACAGGTAGTGATGAACAGTTATCTTATTTGAGAGTCCATGCAAATGCGCGGATCGTCCATTATAGTTTTGTCCTTTTATCCTAAATGCAATTTTAAAAATTAGGACATGTACCCCACGAAAAGTTAGCATAATGATCACTTGATCATTAATTATTGGAAAAATTACATCCAACTATCCAAAGACATTTATTATGAGAAAAGATCAAATAATTCTGAGTTTGCTGTGAATGACCGGCTATGCCTAACTATTTATTTGAATGGAAAGAAAAATAAAGATAAAGGAAAACTAAGAAAAAAAATTCCTTAAAAATAGTAAAAAATTACTGCTTTTGGAAAATTTTTTTCCTAGTTTTTCCTCCTCTTTATTTTCTTCTTTTTCCTTTATCCAAACCAAACATAAAAGCAAAAAGACATAATCACTCTTTATTTTCTTCTTACTTTTCACTAGCTGTCGAAGGTCATTAACAAGTATCCATATACATATTAATTAACACACCCTTGTGTGTTAAATATACATGAATACTTGTTAATTAACGAGGACATATTTGTTGAAACATGTCTCACACATGTCTCTTTTCACAATTAAGCTTTGTCAGATTTGTGCTTGTTAAATACACATAGATACTTGTTAATTAATGAATAATGCTTGTTGCAGTAAGCCCCACACTTATTTCTTCTTACAACTAAGACATTTTAGATTTTTAAACTTGTTAATTAACACATGCTTGCTTGTTAAATGCACATAGATAATTGTTAATTAATGAATGCATGCTTGTTGAAGCAGGTCGTGCATTTATCCCTTTCTACAACTAACCTTTATTAGATTTTTGAATTTGTTAATTAACACATGCTTGCTTGTTAAATGCATATACACACTTATTAATTATGAATGTACGATTGTTGAAGCAAGTAAATGATTTGAAAACTGAAAAATTAATTTGACAATATATATTAAAGGGAGAACATTTGCACTGCATGCCCAACTAGAACATTTGCATTAAAGGCCCAATATAATATAAAATTATTCTGCAAGCCTAAAAGTTTCTCTTGCAATTAGTGTTCTGGTGAAAAAATGGAATTGCCTTTTGTGAAATACACAACAAAACGTCTATTTAGATAATTTACACTTGTTAAATAAGATAAAATTTACATTATTTAGATGATATTTACAACAACAACTCTGTAAACAAAATTTCAAGTTTATTTATTAACAATAAAACGTTCTTTCATCATTTCACATAGTCAACGCATTTACATTTATTGAAGGAGAGAAAATTTCTAAGTTACTTAGATGAAATTTACAACAAAAACTTTATAAATAACATTCAAAATCTATTTGTTTACAACAAAATATCTACTTATTTCACATTATTCACATAGTTTACACTTAAGAGAGCGGAGTTCCAATGGCCAGTGACTATGTGATGGGATCTTTTTTTTAAAAAAAAAATATATAAAGGGTAATTATATTTTTTTGGTAACATATTTTAATTATATTGAGGTCTCTTGGTCTTGTAGAGAAATTCAGGATCATTTAATCTTTTTTTTGTAATAAATGTTTTTTGGGAGGTTCTGGATGTGATGTTCACTTAATTAGTCTCCAAAATTCCATCTCTGGTGAGGACAAACAGAAGAAACGAAGTGGATAAGGTTGTTGATTCCGTGAATGAAATGGCTTACTGCAATTTTATCGTTGTCATCAAGGACCACAATTATTCATCCTGTCATGATTCATGCTGTGGTCACTATAGATAATCATATGAATTGATACCAATATATGTCGTCTGCGTGTGTACACTAAAATATGTTACGGCTGTGAAAAGTTTAGGATGAGTTAGATCCCAGAAATTATTCGGAACCAGAACATGTTTTTAAGTTCAAAAAAATATTTACAAATGTATTTATAAATACTAACAAAACTTCACATCAATAGTGGAATTCCCTTTTTGCTCAAAAAAAAAAAAAATAGTGGAATTCCCAACTCATGATCTTATAGATTATATATATGGGTCAAATGAATCCTAACTGGACCACAACCTTTATTGGTGTGTATTAAAATTTGTCGGAAGCTAATTTAGTGTGTTTAACTTGTATTGAATCGAGAAATCTAGTTTGTATAGGGCTTTATGTTTTGTCATTTCGTGAGATTAAAAAATTTGTTTGTACTTTTTTTCTCAGAAAAATGAGTTATGTGGTACATGTGGTTAATTAATTTCCTAATTATTAAAACCCATCTTGTGCACCATATGAGAAAAGTTTTCAAATTGTAAACAGTTTGATTTTTATATTAAAATAATTGATGAATATGAATGATTTTGAGTACAACTGATTATGTTTATATTGTATAATTAATTTATAAAATTGATTTGTAAGATTGATTTTAAGCATAATTGAAAATCAGATTAAACCATGATTTTATGAAAATATATCTAAACATCTTATAACATATCAAAATCAATTTTAAACTAAAAATTATGATTTTCTTAAAAAATATCAAACACTCTTATCATATGCTAAAATCAATTATGAACAAAAAATTATATATTCAAACACACTTTTGTACATGCCAAAATTAATTGATTATGAATTTAAAATTACAATTATCTTATAAGTTAATTACTATTATCTGCTTTTCATGATTTGAGTTCATAACAGCTTTTGATATATATATATATATATATATAGGGTGTTTGAATATTTTTAAAAAAACCATGATTTAGGTACAATAGTTAAAATTTGAAAACTCAATTGCAAATCATTACTTTATAGTTAGTTGATATTAAAAAAATAATTAATTCTATAAAATTGTAGGGATTTGAGACTCATCTTTCAAAATCTATACTCCTCTAGTTCTATTTATAAAGGAGAGAGAGCATTTATATTGATCTTATTTATAAAACACTTTATATTTTTATGTCCATATTTACCATTTTGTCTCTATTAAATGTTGAAAAGGTTATTAAATGCTTGAGTGTTTTATTTTAAAGTATGTATATTTAATAGGGTAAATTTAAAAATTTATTGAATTTTTAAACAAAATTAATAAGGTCTAAGGTTTTTTTTATTTCAATAAAACATACTAAAATTAATTTATAAATAGGATTGTGGGGAGTA